GTTCTAGTGTTAAATATAATTTATCGTTTGTTTATTCTTAGTGATTGAACTCTTTTTTGTTTTTTGAAAGGTGTTATTATTATAAATATGTGTCAGTCAGTCAGCAAGTTGCCAGTTACGTCTGTGTTGGTTGTAATAATTATTGATTTACTTGTGCCAATCGAATATTATGTCATCTGTAGTATTGTAATTTATTTGCCACAAACCTGCTACTGAAAACCCATTCACTGTCTTATTTAAATACCAGAAGAAGCTAATTATAAAATAACTGCATTGAAACCTGTCTTGGTGAAAAAATGTGAATTGCATTAAAAGATTTCCAGTGGTGAAAAAAAAGCGATTCATATAAAAATGTTTGCATATTTAATTTCGTTGAAGGGGATTCCCATTCTAGCTTAAAATTTTCCATATTTTCCAATGGATTGGTATTTGAAAAGGAATGTAAGACCTTTCCACGTTTTCATGTTACAAATCAAGCCATTTCGTGTTGGTCAGTCAGAAGACGCTGATTTGGACCGATGTTTTTCAAACGAATTTATCGCATTATCATGGAACAGCATATCCAACCAAAAATTATCAATATTTATCGACTTTTTAGGGAAGACCCTAAAAAGTCAACGGAATTGGCTAACATTTAGTAAAAAAATACACAGATGGAGCTGCTGATTATAATTAAAGTGAAAATTGATAGACATTTTAAGGTAACCATTAAAAAATTCTGTATCTAAAAGTTATAAATACGATTTTTTCCAAAAAAAATTAATTACACAACCTAGTGTCAGAGGATATTTTAATGGTTATAGCACCAATCGACGCCTTGACCGTCTGCGGCCGTTCATAAACATACAAGTTATTGTCGATAATTTAAAAGTAGTCGTAGAAAAGGTGATCAAAAATATATTGATTAATTCAACTTTTAAAAAAATTGAACGCGGTTTTCGGTTCACCCTGTTAAAGTTTTATTTTTTTCTTTCATAATCGTAACCATCGTCCTCGAAACCTTTATATATGATATTTATTTATTTCATTAAATATATATATATATATATATATATATTCGATATTCGATAATAATCGATTTTGAGTGCGTTGGCAATCATTTTATTTTATTTTTGGTGTCGACAAATCTTCTTATCTATACAAAAATCCCGATCGATTTTACGTAACTTGAATGTCCACCTCGTGGTGGAGGATATTAAAAAGGTTGGTACTGACGACGTTTTCAAATTGTGCAGAATCTGCCGGGAAGAAATATTTTTAACGGCCACGTGTTCATGCAATACCGAATATATGTTGGTGAAAGAAATGCGCAAACAGCGCATAACTTTCTGATGGCAAGGACTTTATGCACCATGACATTGCAGTCGAAGAAACCCTTTACATTTAACCGAACTTTACGTACTTTTTCGGTTTTGGCTCTTCAGGACATTTCTATCCAGATGATTTGGATTTTGATTTCAATATCATAGCCAAGAACCAATTTTCCACATAACATCCAAACAAGGGAATAAGTCCTCCTCGGACTTTAATATTTCGAGTTCACAATTCCGCATTCCTTATAATTTTCTGTATAGGCCAAGACCAAGAACATTTGCTTGCAAAAAGTTGGATAAAAAATAAATAAATAAATTTGATTATAACTCGCATCTAATATAATTTTGTAATACAGGTATTTTCCAGTTTTTTCCAAAAATAATTTATCAATTTGTTGTTGATTTCAATATTAATAACTTTATCTTGTTATTAAAATTAAATAAGTATTATTATATTCAATACGGAAGTCTGGTGATTGGCATATCATACCCGTACTTTCGAATTGTATATATAAATATCGATATTTTTACAAACAATGTCATAAAAGCCTCTACAGTCACCAGGGAACATTGAAAATGTTTTCATTTCTGGACCGCCTTTGGAATCACATCGAAGAGATATTGGAAAATGTACCCGATATGAGAGATTTGGAGGAAATATTTGAACACCACGATCAATTTGTGATGAGAATATAAATATTAATTGTAAAAAAATATATTTGAAATTGAGAATTTTATTTAAAAATAAATGTGTTTCGTAATAATTATTATTTTTTAGTTTATTTTTTTATAATTTAATTTATTCATACTTTCCTATAATATTTGTGTATGGGTCTTGCGTAAAAAAAGTAATTTCTCTTGAAGCTTTACGTGGTATTATTTCTCAGTATTTTAACAAGTTTACTTACAATAAATTTCAATTCTTGATTTAATTTTGGTCTAGACTTCAATAGCAAATTGATTGCCTTTGGGAAATTATGTGTGCCCATGTCCCCTATGAATACCAATATGCAATTAATTTCAAAATTGTATTTCCGAATTAAATTATGTCTCGCCTTAAATATAAGAACTTTATTAAATGCAAAATCGTCCAATGGGAATTAATGTCCACCCCTATTCCGATACATTAACCACTACACCTAGACGTATAAGAATGAAAAATCGAACATTGTTCATACGCCACCATACAACTTGTTATCTTTTTGAATTTTGCTCATACGCCACCTACAACTTTCCTTCAACACGTTCTTGAATATAAAACACAATTCATAATTACCCAAATTCCACCCTCCCCCTATTTTATAAATTATGCCAATGGTATTGTTAAAAAATCTAAAATTTCTCTATGTGTACCCATCCATTTATTGTAATTTCTCCCCAAACGTATTTGGTGGCAAATTTATTTACAAATGATTACATTCGATTCGATTTACTACATTTTAATTCGAATCCATTTGTTTTTTATTTATTTATTTGCTGATTACCGCCTTGCTTCGAAAGGGGGGGTGAGTAGAGTAAATGATGATGCCTTCGATTAGACCAAGATTTATGACAGGGCGCTAAGAAGTGTTTACCATCTTTGCCATAAATTGTCAACTGTTGTTGTTGTTTGTTTTGTGGCACGAAGAAATGGGTCACCGACACCAACACGATATTGGTTTGGCGTGCTTCCGCACAAATTAAATAAATTCGATTGAAACGAATGGGTTTATTCAAGTGGGTTCGTCGCAATTCATGGAGAAGAGAAATGTAAAAAAATTCCAAATAAAAAAACCCAACAAAAATATATTTTAAACTCTTCTCCGATATTAGTAAACAACTTTTGAATTTATTAATCTGTATACAAAATTTCCTGTCATAAATTACAAATAATTTGAATATCTTGATTTAAATCAATATTAAATTTTCAAATTGTGTTTACCCACATTAATATTCCATGTTCTTAATTCGTATAACAAATCTTTCGACACTTTGGTAATTTTGATAAAACCAATAAAATCCTTTTTTATGGAAATCTATTTGAATATGTGTGTGTGTGTGTGTGAGTTTGGGTGTGTGTGCGATGTTGGCCACAATTATCGATAAATTAGTTCAGAAAATTGGCCGCTGAACGATTACAAACGAGGCAAAACAAACATTTAGTTTCGCGAGAAGTAGATAGTTGTGGCGTTTCCACTTCCTGGCATCCGCATACATTTGACAATTGCTTTTAATCCGCTTTTATTTTCTTAACCAATAACAAGAAAATTGCGAATTTTCTTGACAATTAGCCAAATTGCTGACAGATATTTCAATAAAAATAATTGTTTAATCGTTGCGAGCAGACATACAGATAATAACATGGCGATGAAAAGCGATAGCATATAACACTCGAAGTGCCAAAAATATTCTATAAATATTCTTACATAAATTATGACATTACATTTAGCAATTTTGTTTTACAATTTGAATATCAAAATTTGTTGAATTAGTTAAGGAGGATTTATTCACTGTAAGTTGAACATCGAAAATCGCACAGAAATTGATAACTCACAGTTTTGCCAGTTTCTGATAAATTCGTTTTTGTACCTCAGCTTATGAGGGTTTATATACTTTGATACGGCAAAAATGTGCCTCATCGAAATATTGGTTTTGGACCCATGTTTCTTTGGACCAGGTCCGTTTTAGACAATTCGGAGTCGACTTACAAATGTCCTTCCGCCTGTCTGGCCGTCTGGTGCGCACAATAACTCTCGAAGGGAGTAACCGATTTAATCCAAACGTTGCGCATGGTAATATTTCTACCAAACTTATTTCATGTTCGATGATGGGGAATATCGGTCCACTCCCTCTGCTACCTCCCCCACAAAATGGTCAAAATCGTGTTAAAAATGTATTTCATAATATCATGAGAACGGATTATACGACTTTAACCAATCTTTTCAAACCTAATATTTTTACCAAGCCTAGATCAAGTCCGAAGATGGGACACATTGGTTCACTCCTTCTGGTATTTCCCACATGAAAGGTCAGCATTTTCAATATTTATAAATCCAATATCAGGCGAATGGAAAGTTCGATTTGGACCAAACTTTGCACATACTATTATCTTTACCAAGTCTAGATGAAGTTCGAAGATGGGATCCATTGGTCCACTCCTTGTTGTACCTTCCCCGCAAATGGTCAACATTTTCAATATTTATAAATCCAATTTGAGGCGAATGGAATGTCCGATTAGAACAAAACTCTGCACAACCTATTATCTTTACCAAGCCTATATCAAGTCCAAAAGTGGGACACGTCAGCCCTCTCCTCCTGTACCTCCTCCAAAAGGGGACAATATTATTTATTTGAAGCTAATTGAATAATCTATTTCATCAACTTTAAATCCGTTCTGTTCAATAAAAACATATTTATATAAAACGAATAATAAAACCTGTGTGTGACTCCGAAGACCTCTGTCATCCATAGGCTGAGGTATATATCTACGGGCAACCCGACTGACACTTTTTTATTTGTTGAAATTAGCTTTTCGATTTCCATCAAGTTCCATTAAAATCGATTCAGTTATACGGCAGTGAAAAGTGACCGGCTACAGGTATTCACAAACAAATGTCTCAGGATCATATGGAGAACATTCTGACCCAACACCCTAGAGCTAGGATGAATTCGCCACATCTTAAGAAAACATTCCATAATATAATCTGAATGGCTTTGAATCGAATTCCCAAGGATCGCGAAATCGATATCGACCAAGAAATGCCTGGCCATGAACTACAAGAGCAACTAACCTAGTAAAATGGTGATGATTTGTGGTATTCCTAGAAGGAAACTCCCCCTAGTACAAGTAAAAAGTCGTTCGTTCGATCGGTCTTATTTCCATACACCACTTCCATGAAGTAGGTAGGAAGATTTGACGCCCAAACGTGCGTTGGGTGGTGGCTATCCAATCCGATATCGATAATATTTGGTAAAGAGATTACAGTCAATTGAGTTAAAACTCCCCAAAATACCGAATAATGGGGAATGTCGTTATATGGGGCTATGCTAAAAAAGTAGACCAATATCGATAATTTTTACCCAATGGGAACTCAAAGTACCAATACCAATGGCCGATATATCTCATTTTCAATACCAAACATTCTAGAAGTAGTAAGAATTTTAATTTTCAAACCCTATCTGCAATCTTATGAGGGATTTTTTATTTTAAATATTTGTTTGTCAAAAAATCTCGTCTTGTGCCGTTCAAGATAAGAAGGACGAAGAAGGCGCTTGAGATACGTTCTATTATGTTATGACTGAATACTTGTCATCTCAAAAATAATCTGAAATAATCGCAAATATGTTGACCTATTTCGAATTTGTAATATGTGTAATTAATATATTCTATAAGGATTTTCATTCCCAAACAGAATTTTTCTTGATCATGAGCTCCATATTAACATTTTGTCTGGCAAATGTTACCAAAATTCCAATATCTCAATTATAAATGTGGCGAATATCAATCGAAATGTAAAGATGGCAGTAATTAGAACACAATTTACCTTATCCGACATAGTCCAAATGGAAATACATTTTCCAGATGTTTTCTTTTTTGTATTTGGATGGATAGCATTCAAATCATCGTCGTCCATCACTCATCACAGCAGGAATGCAAGCGGAAAAGAAAACATTAGCAAACGCATTAAAGTATGACCAACGGCCAGCGATATGGTCCAGATTGTCTCAGCTGTTTTATAATTTTTTTATTAAGTTTTTATCTGAATACTTTGCTTTCTGTTGTTTTTTTCGTCTCATTCGCAATTGTTTTCTGTCGCCATTTCCATTTTTCATTCGCATTTAATTATTATTTTTTTGTGTTTTGTCTTTCCAATGAGTGGACGCAGAGAGACGCAGTGGTCGTCCCTCCAGAAGAACAGACAGAATAACGGATGAATGGATTATTTTGTATAACTTATTTGGCGCATGCAAACATTTCTATGTGTGTGTGAGTGTATGTCGGGTTGTGTGTGGCTGTGAAATAGAAAACTTTGCCTACACTTAGCAATGAAATGGTTTTGACGATTATGATTAATGAAATTAATCCATATTGCCGGACACCATATGCTCATCATGAATTTTTGTTTGCAAACAAAAAATCAGCATCTCTGTCAGTTTAGCATATAATGAAATTATGAATAATTATGTTCGGCTGGACATGTTCAGACAATGGTTATAATCAAACAACAATATGGAGATTTTCAAGAATAATACTTTTACATCAAATAAATATTGTATTGTTATATTATACGGATAGAAACCCCCGTTGATTCCAAATTCTAACACATAGACCGGACATACAAAAAAAATGTTGTAAAATAAGTTTAGTTTGAAAGTAGTTTAAGTCCATTTTAGGTTCTGATAAATATCTTGGTTTTCTAGAAAAGGTTACAAAGCGTAGTATGTCATACATTCTATTATGTTTAAGGGCACAAGGCCACAAACTTAATTTATACCACTTCACAATATTTTGAAGCAAATCAAATCCAAACCTTTATATATCTAAATAAAAGAAAAATTGACTTAGACCACTTTCAAAATATACGACTCAAATGTCGTTACTTTTGTTAACGATATTTTTATAATATTATATAGGAATGTACAAAGTATTAAATTTTGAAGATTATGACTGGATGTTCCAAAATTTATTTACTGGAAGAAAAAAACATTTCAAAATTTAAATTAATTTAATTTATTTACTGTTTTGTAATATTAATAAGTATTTTTATATATTTTTCTATTTCTAGAATCATATAAACCTATTGGAGATTTATTAACTTCAAAGAAGAGACCAATTTATTTTAAATATGTGGGGAATTCCATTCGATTGAAAGTGATGATACTGCTCAACCATCCCACAAAACCAAGCCATACCAAAAAATCGTAAAGATTTTTTTAACACATCCCAAAGAAAAAACAATAAACTGGCAAACCCCCATTGTACTTGCTGCTAAAACAACAACAAGTGTCCTTCCCACGCAGTATCCTGTGGATATCACAAAACCACATACACGCATACCAATAACAACATCCGTTCCATGTTTAACATAAAAAAGTAGGCCACGCAATTAAAAAGCTTTCTTTCGAGCCGGAAAGAAGTCATGTGATTACGTGGCACTTAGCACTTACTTTCCGTATCCCACAACCAACACCACCATGATGAGGCCTATGATAATGATGGAGTTTTTGGCCAACGGATGTGAACAATAAGACTGTAATTGAAATTGAAAAACGTCCCTGAAGTTACCATTCCACTATATACCACGTATAGCAAAAGGGCAGCGGCGGCGGCGGCGTCTGGGGCGATTTCGAGTGGTCCTTTAAAGGCTGTGGGTGAATGCCTGGTGGTCAGTCGCTTCAAACGCCTGGCATACGAAGGACAACAACAAGAACAACTAAATCAACAGCAGCAGCAACAGCATGACAATGGCGAACCCACCGCAACGACGGCAACAACAACAAAACCAAAAGCAAAATCATTCAAACCAAATAAAAATACCAAATCATCGTTTCCGCTGTCAGGCACATGCAAAAATGTTCGATGGCGAGTTTTTATTATTCTCGCCTGGCTACTCCTCGTTATCAATATGCCGAAGGTCAGTGCTGGTGTCCAGTTGGCATCGGTAACATTTTCAAACTCCTCAACACATCGCAACACAACAACACTAACACAATCTAACCATAACAATGTATTAATAACAACAACTTCCCCCACACAAGGCGTCGATGGGGTCACTCTTCGACTCCATAAGCGTAACAATGAAGTCATTTATGCAGCAAGTGATGAAATCACCACTACCACCACCGCACCTAACATCAACAACAACAATGACATACATCTCAAGTCCAATACATTGACACCACCCCCACCATCTTCAACAACAACACTTTCCACAAATTCGATCGATTCATCACCCTTCAATGCCAGTAGTAACAGTTCCACCAGCGAATATGAAAATGAAATCCCACAAATTCCTGCTTATATTCGCACCACAGCGATGTTCTTTTGCATTGTCATCATGCTAATGGGTGTTATTGGAAATGTTATGGTAAGTCAAGTCTAATGAAGAATTTAGCACTGCTTTATTGGTAGGTAGTGATTGTCTTTGATTTTTCTTAATGGGGCGTTGATTCGCAGGCGAGAATTGTTAGCTTTTAAATATCAGGAAATGGGAGGGGGTTTTGGAAAATCAATGGGCTGAACGGATTGTTGCATTCTGTAGAGGTTAGTCTAATAATGGGAACAAAATTTTCAATGATCCCGAATAAGTAAAATCAATTTAAATCGTTAGAGAAGTCTGATCTCCAGATCATAGCACCCACAATAATCGGTACTCTACAAAGCTAAAATGCAACATTCAGGGTATCACAAAACCTTTTCTCATTGAATACTAATACGATACAGACTACAGTTACAGGCCAAACGTCACGAAATTGGTGTATAATTTTGCATTTAAGAAGACCCATATCATTATACCCCTATAGGTTAATATTTTTTAATTGCGGTTATGGTCAAGGGCGACGCCTATAATTTTCGGAACTTTATTTTTGTCAGATATTCTAGACGCTCGAGACGTCACTATTATATGTAGAACATCAAATTTTTAACACGGTGAAGGGTATCTGAACATATACTTAGAACGGCTGTTTAGATGATGATCGGTTAATTTTCCGAGGGTTAAATCAGCCAAAACCTAAAGTTACCAAATTTGTATCTTATGGCGTAAATATTCACCTCCGGAAAACAAGATTTAGAAAATATGCGAGAGTTACAAATTGGAGCTGTTGGCATATAATCGGTCAAGAGGTTGCAAATGTCGCGAAATATTGCCCAGGCTCAGAATATAGAACCACAGAATGTAAGATTTTCGTGGTTGTGGTTGTGTAGGATAACATATGGTCGACCCCGTCCGACTATACTGATCCCAGTAGTTCGAGTAACTGGTTATGAGCTGGCTATTTTACTAATTACCTGTAACTACCACTAGTTACCACTTCATACCCTAGACTGGTGAATTTAACATAGGTATGTCATTGGGGAAGTCAATTGTCCCCTGCCTGCCTTATCAGTAACCAGTCATTTGGGTAGATACTATTCTTAAGTATTATTCCTAGTTACAAATATATAGCAAAGTAGCTATTATAACAGTTTGGAAAATTGAAAATATAAAAGTTATTTTGAATACATATTTTTTATTTATTTCATCATTATTATGTTGTTATGTTTTGAGCATAATCATATCTGATTTTTCACACCGCCATTTTGCGATTTCTTTTGTCTCTCGACTGTTTTTCGAATCTGTCCTCTACGAAATATTGAAGCATCTGAAATAGAAAATTACAAAATAAAACTAAAGGTATTGGTCTCTTAAGAAGAAGCTTTTGGAGAATATTTACCTATGTATTTCAAACTTTTATTTGTTCCCCCAATCTGTTGGATGCTTCTGAATTGACATCTATTGAAAATCTGTAGAATAATTTTGTTGAAAAAAATTGCATATGTATTTATTGTGTCGCAAAACCAGAACTTACCTTAGATTCAACATATGAATTTGAGATTCTTGAAATTTTTATTTATATGGCACTTCATCTTCAACATTGTGAATATTGATTGCTTATATTTTTGTATAAAACACATTTTTATTAAACATTTGCTTTCACAATTCAAAAAATTATAAAGTCTGAAGAAAATGACAATTATTTTTTCTGTTTTGCTTTTTTTCGATTCATTACTTTTCGCATTACCAGTAACTACAGAATTAGAAAACGTTTTCAATCAACAAATGAAGTCAATAGTATATTTTGTGTTCCATTTTTGGGTATAAAGTAACTAGATAACATAGTAACTAGTTATATAACTATACATAAGTAGACAATTGCTATTTATTGAACAACTGGGATCCGTTCACTGGTTTTGTGTTATTATTGGGATACCAAAAATATCAATTTGATCCATAGTGCTCCGACATAGGGTATTTTGAAAGTTTGGCACTATTTGCCTTCAGACCCCCAAAATAATCTTGGAAAACTGAGTTGACACATGTCCACTTTTGGGGTAACAAACCAAAATCAATCGATGCAGTGTAGGTTGGAAATTTTACTGGAAGTAGCTGTTAGTGTACTTTTGGTGATGGATCTTCCCGGCCTAACTTAACGACATTTTTAATATAATTTTATTTTACGATATTTTTTGCAGGTACCCATTGTGATCATACGGACCAAAGATATGCGAAATTCCACCAATATTTTTCTTACAAATTTGAGTATTGCCGATCTACTGGTACTCTTGGTTTGTACTCCAACCGTGTTGGTCGAATTAAATACCAAACCGGAAACATGGATTTTGGGGCATGAAATGTGTAAGTATTATTTTCTAAATTTCATAAATTATTAGTTATTTCTTTATTTATTTTTTGTTTCATTTGTTCTTCATTCCAGGCAAAGCCGTTCCATTCATAGAATTGACAGTGGCCCATGCATCTGTCCTCACTATATTGGCCATATCATTTGAACGTTATTATGCCATCTGTGAACCATTAAAGGCGGGCTATGTTTGCACTAAGACGCGAGCAATTCTGATTTGTTCCCTGGCATGGGGTATTGCTGCCTTATTTACGAGGTAAGTGGTGACAAATTGCTATGGTAATTAATTGGTTGTCTGTCATTCATCAATCTTACATCCAACCAACCACCCACCCACCTATAAACCTATCCATCCATATTAAATTTTTCATTCATTCAATCGTTGGTTGTTTTTTTTCCTACTTTTCATTCATGCCATTTCGCATAAACACCCCTCTGGCGGCGCATTGAAATCATTTTAATTCATAATTTGTTGTTGTATTTTTTTTTTTTATTTTCCATTCATGTTGAAGTAGTTTGGAATGCATGATGGATGCCATGTAGAGAGTTGAACCAAATGCAATAAATACCGGTAGCCATTTGATTTAAAGAAAGCGTAGCCGGCAAATGCCGCGTAGTGTTCAATGTAGTTGATATTGTTATTGTTATTTTTGTTGTGGTTGTTGTTGTGGTATTGACAAATCTAAAAAATTAGCATAAACACGATCCATACAAAATTAATATTTGCAAGTGAATGGTTAATTTGTGTGATGGTGAACATTTGTTGTAGTTGATTTGGTGTTGTTGTTGTTATTCATATTTTCTTATTAATTACTAGATATTTATAATTTATAAAAACAGGTGAAAATGGTTTTTGATAAATGAGTATTGTTATCGTTAAATACTTACAAAAATTTGTAAAAGTAAATAAAAATATGTAATTAATTATTCAAATGGTTTAAGTACGAGTATACCACGTTATGCGCCGATAAGTTTACGATTACAGTGGGTCTTGTGTTCGGGACAGACCAAATGTTTAAAGAACTCAACCTCCAAGAATACTTTCATTAAAATAAATGCCGTTAATCTGCTGTACATGGAAGTTTCTTCGAAACGTGATTACTCTCCAAATTCGATTTTCTGAAATTCGAATAGCTGAAATTTTGCATGTAGGTCTGGTGCCTATAGTTTTAGGGGTCGAAATTTTTTTTTGGGAATGAAAGCCTTTGGTTGGTATTTTAAGAACACAGAAGGGTAAATTCGCCGTAGGATAATGATACTACATTTGCTTGCACCAATTGCAGAATTTTTTGGAATGACATGTCTTCAGCTGAATCAAATACGTTTTTTTTTTTTTTGTAAAATATATCCTCCGTCTATCTTAAGTCCTATCAATTTAGTGCCTATCAATCAGGGGTAAATTATGAAGTCGATATCGAGTGAATTTTTATTCGACAATACATTTCGATACGATCACACATACTGTATTACACCATCTGATCGAAATTCAAAAATTACGTATTTGTGATTTGTAACTTGGAGACTCTTCATTATTCTTGTATTTATTATTTTATAGCAATGAATCTTGTTACAACTAACTGTTTTGATCCAAGTTGTTCAAATTGTCGGTAGTTCGTTCAGATTCTAATTTGTCTAAATATATCATTTATTATACGATATTATTTGAATACATCCAATGTGGTTTATTGTGTTATATATTGAGCCAATTCCGACATTATCCTTGCTGGTATTCCTGTTGGCTTTATTCTGTTTTCGACACCTATGTTGGCTACGAGCACAACCTTGATAGTTTTTTATCGGACATTTCGATGGAATATATTCGATATTGAATGATTTATACAAATTGAATAACATCGATCGAAACAACTCGATATCGACTGTCATAATTTGGGTCAAGGATCGTATTCACATTTATGCAGTTGAGAAAGCAATGCGAGAAAACAGGGCAAATACAATACTCGGATAAAACCCCCAAACGATAGCAGCATGTACCACCTAATGTTCCACATAACACGCTACACCCTTAAAATGTCTGGGTAAACCCACTCAACTTACAAAATCTTCACTTTGTACAGGTCGCAGCTTAAGCTGCTACAAAAACAACATAGTTCTCTCTTAAGGGATTTTATACTGTTCTCAAATATAACACATTTATATTTGTACATTTAATTCGCATTTTTCCATTTAACCTGTTCCTTGCTCAGATAACTTATGGCCTATGGCGAAATTATCCTTTTCAATTCTTCACATTATCGTTAAAAACTTTTATTCTCAAAAGGAATTTTCCACAGCCAAATTTTTGTTGCGCCGTGTGATCGGTCAATATTAAGAGGGACAAATGGATCTTATTTTTTTAATCCAGGAAACATAGTCATCCATAAAAAAAGTCTTATATGTACTCGGTTTACATATTATATTTGTATATCCAACACGTGAAGTGTGCGAGAATATTAAATTTCTCATTCCGTTTGTATTTAAGTTCTCACTGGGCAGAAAATCTTCCTAACAAAAATGATCTATATTCGTCCACTTTTAGGAAAGGCTGCATATAACGGTATCCCCAAATTTCCTTATGAAGGAGAGTTTAAGGAGGTTTTTAAATCAAGGTTGGTACATTAGATTCTCATTAGGTAGAAAGTTCGCCAACATCAAATTATTAATATTGGTCCATGTTTCGTGGTACTCCTTGATAATGGGATTTAGAATTAACTGTAATTTAATAGTTTGCGTACTGATGGCGTGTCGAATCTACCCACTAATAGCCCCCATTTAACGCTATCACCCCATTTTCGGTATTTTGAACGTTTAACAACATTTTCCCACCAAATAAGGTGCATAAAATGAAGTTCAATGTTTTCCATAGACCCCATATAAAAGTACAGAAGTGTGACATTCCTGGTGAATAAAATACTTCTTTATTTTTTAATTTTATTTATTTTCGGTACATTGATGCCCAGCCCAGTTTTCCAACCAGAGTGTCTGGAATTTGGCTTTTTCATTTACCCAAACAAACAAAATACTAGGTTGTTTACACAATTTACAATGACACAGTCACCATATGAAGTTCCCGACCTTTTTTTATAATATATATTTTTATGAATTTTGATTCTGCTAGAACATTCCTTTTTGTTGCGCGGAATTTGATCCTGTAATGAACATAAAAAAACTGAAAAAAAACATTTCGTTAAGGCTTTCTGACATTTTAAATATGATTGTTTTTCTGTCTGCCTATGGCCAGTAATGGGTTAAAGAATTTTGAATACATTCCAAAATGTTTGGCCCGGCCGGTAGTGGTAGTTGTGTAGTATTATTAAATTACTCGGAAATGACCTTTAAATTTATTTTTAGGGGACTTCCCCCGGACTCGATTAAATTTTTAGGATTTTCAACCGACTGGGAAATGGAAAAGCATTACATTAAAGACGTTGCATATAAGTATAAGGAAGTCTTAAAAAATAAGAAAATGAAGTGAAATCATTTTGTTGCATCAAAAAGTCCTTCCGATTCCAAAAAACTTAAAAAAAGTACCTTGCTGTTTCTGGTATGAATTAGGTGGATGAACTACGTACAAAAATTAACAAAATTAACGAAACTAAGGAAGATCTTGCCCGATTACATGTATAAACATTTGAGTTATCGTGACAAATGTACAAATGTAGAAAAACTGTTTCAAGAAAACACGTTTAAAGTTTAAGAACTACTTCTGTCTGGTGTTTATGCAATAAATCGACTATATCTTCAAGAGTAGTTGAGATTTTCTCTTTAAATTTGATAGGGCAAATAGTATGGGTTCAAATTCAATAGAAAAAAAAATTATCAACATTTAATGAGTAGTTTTTGTATATGCCCACGGTGGTGTTGATTACCACTAGGTTTCTCAATGTCTAAAAATAATTTATCATACATTTTGTAAGATAAATAATTTATCTCTTTCATGGACATGTGATGCCAAAACTTTCCCAGTTGATTGTTAGTGGATTCAATTCTGAAGAGTTTACATTTGACTGAATTTCTATGTTTTATTCAAATAATTATCTAATAACAAAAATATATAAAAACATAACATCAATATTACATTATAATCAATTAGGATTCTCTGCTAATAAGATATGAAAATACGTATAACAACAACAGCAACAAACCCATTAAAAGCTCATTAATGTCATTATCACGCGTTTTTTAGTATTTTGCGATTGTCATTTTGTTATTATTGATTTCATATTTCTGGTAAGGAAATTTGAAGTATGTATTTCTAAACCATTCCGTTAATATGTCATCACTCATCACCAACACCCCACCACTCACCATGAGTCTTTACACTTGCAACCACTAAACGCTGATAACAGTCTCTGCTCCTTGAATATTTGAACAAAAAAGAAATAAACATGATGTCCATCACAAGTCAGCAGAAGAAGGACATGATTGAAGCATTCGCTGTAATGAACGTCGATGCGAACGGAGAAAATAACAACAACAATATGGAACGGAGTGGTTATTCAAATACGCATTGTGGTAGGCAAAGGCCCACAAAATTGTATTATTAAAAACTTACTTTCAATGGCTTGATATTTTGTTTTAATATTTCAAAATCATGGACAAAAATAAGTTCGACATGTTTTTCCTACCGACCTTTCTCTTCCAGTTATATTTTCCCTTGTTTTAGTTTTTTTTAATAATTTTGGTTGTTGTCGTTTGTTTTTAATGTCACCCTTATCAGTCAATGACATTTTCTACTTTATTTCCTTTTCTTTTATGAGATCGTTGGCTTTTAATGAAAACAAAACCAAAAGCTTTGTCACACCAAAGCCTTCAAACATTTACCAACCCACTAGGACCAAACCGATTGTTTTCAAATATTTTCATTTCATGGTGTAAATTTCATTTCATCGGAGAAAGTAGGGGACCAAGAAAACACCGAAAAATACTTTCCCCTAAACGCAGACGACCACAGTGACATTAATTACATGCAGTTCGATTGGTAAGGGGTTAATTTGCTTTACATTGCAGAGCGGAAACGTGTTAATGTTCTTAAAACAATAGGCAATGACGCTGGCGGCGGGGGTCCTTTTGCGCCAGCCAACCAAGAAACGCCCCTCCGGGTGATTGAACAGCATGCGGCATCTGATAATGCTGTTTGTTAAAAGCTTTCTCGGTTTCATGTTACACCATCTGCTTTCAGTCTCATTGGCCTTTTTCTTTTTGTTTGTTTATCAATCTCATCACTTTCTCTTTCTTTCGTCTCTCTTCTGTCTATCTTCCCGTCCAATTCACCCACCTACCTATTTACATTAACTTGCTCTGCTAGTTATTTTCTATTTGTCCTGTGAAAGATGCGAAATGGAAATGATTGTAAAATTTGATGATAATTAAGCTAATGTCGAAATCGATTATAACGACGGTCAAGAGACTGGCTAAATTGCTATATTGCTTATAGTCGTTATAAGCGATATCCTAAAAAGGACCGAACTTTTCTCGGAAGTTTTGGGAACTGCCGTATTAATTATATGTTGTTATAAATGTTGTCGTTATAAATTATTGTGACTGTATTTAAAAGTTTAGGCGATTTTTAGTTCGGCTAGTAGGAATTTTCTATTTTATTCTTGTCTTTATCGGATTTGTGAGACTTCGTGTCGGGGTAGAACTAATATTTATACCATCCACTTTATGGCTAATGAGGGTATGAGCCATTTGATACGACAAAAATATGCCTCAACTAGATATTGATTGTAGACCCCTAGTTTATTTGGATCAAATCCGTTTCACACATTTATGGACCAATCGTCACGAAATTTTGCATGTAGGATGGGTTCTGACCAAAGAAGATCCCTATTATTATTAGTAACTATCCTTATTTTAATTTTATTCGTTTTTGATGAAAATTAGTCAATATTTAGCGGGTCTAATGGACCCAGACTTCTGTGTGAAAAATTACAAAATTTGTATTCTGCATGGTATATTTTTACTCCTGAAGGAGTAATAGTTGAAAGTACATCCATATATGATAGTATATCCAAGATGAGTAGTTGAACTTACCAATTATATTGTTGTATGTAGTCGGATGTGGGAGTTATACCTAAATATTTAAAGGTATTACACCACTAGGGAATGGAAATTTTGCGCTGATAGCTTTGAAATTTAACTCAAAGTTCCGGCTATAGTCAAGGGCAACTGCTATAATTTTTGGTGATGTTGAGATGATATTTCGGGGGTGAAAACATTATTTTTGTCAGATTTATTTTTTGTCAGATTTTCTAGTCTAGGTGAAGGGGAGCGGTCAATATTCCGAGGGTCAAATCAACCAGCACCTAAAATAATCATACTTCTATTTTATGGCGTAAATACTCTCCTCGGGAAACAAGATTTGGAAAATTTTCCAGAGTTAGAAAGTGGAGCTGTTGGCCTATAATCGATCAAGAGTGTGCAAATAACGCGAAATATTGCCAAGGCTTGGAATATAGAACCGCAGAAAGTTTCATTTTCGTAGTAGTTGTGTCGGCCCTGACCGACTATACTGCTCTGATCACTAGTTTTTGTTTATATTATAGATTAGTGTACTCCTAAAACTATTAATTTCAATGTAGGTCCATATTGTCCACCATTTAGGAATATATTTTTCTTCGAAGCCCTTGCTTGGTTGTTATCTTTACTATCTTTACTACATATTTTTTTATTAAAATTTCGTATAACTAGACTATAAATCAATTCAATAATTTACAGCATAATTTTACAATAATTTCCCTAAAAATCCGCTTTGGTAGAACCCATTCAACCTTTCAAGTCCTCTACGTCCAGCCAATCCACAATGCTTTCCCAAAAAACCCAAACGACTTTATTTTCATTCGTATTAATGTCCTTTTCCTAATACCCGTTACTTGTTTTTTCTTCTTCTTCTCTTTACTGTCCTTGACATCCTAGCCAAAAACAATCCAAGATCACGCCCTTTAAAATTCAAATTGGCTAATTTTGGTTATTTTCAAAAATATGTCTCTCTCTCTCTTCTATTTCTTTCATTTTTTCTCTCCCATGTATCTCTTCACTTACACCGCCCCAATCGTCACAGTCCAATATTGTGGATGGCCGAATATAAATATGCTGATTACATAGATGGATCCTCGGTACCGGTGTGTCTTACTCAAGCTTTAACCATTTGGACGTTGGGATTCTTCCTCATGATCACCGCTGTCTTCTTCGTTTTTCCACTGTTCATTTTAATAGTCCTGTATGGGATAATTGCAAAAAATCTCATTTCCGATACGGGACCCATGATGCGCATACGACCCATTAAACCAGAGCTAAGCCTGAAAGCCCGCAAACAAGTTGTCCTTATGTTGGGAGCTGTAGTGGTGGCATTTTTCCTTTGCCTTCTGCCATTTCGTCTCTTAACTCTGGGCATCATCTTGGCCCCGGACAAGATACACGATTTAGGTTTGGAAAGTTACTACAATATACTCTACTTTAGTCGCATCATGTTGTACCTGAACTCAGCCATAAACCCCATACTCTACAACTTGATGTCGACTAAATTCCGCAAAGGATTTTACAAACTAATCTTCAGCTTGTGGATGGCGGTGCTTAGCACCATCACCTGTGGCCATTGGGAGCCATGTGGCGGCAAGCGGAAGGGCGCCAACGGTTTGGTCACCACCACCACGACTAGCTCAAATACCAACACCACCACCAATACCTCGTCCAGTATTTTATCGCGTAGCTCAAATCGCCGCTCAAGTGATGAAGTTGTCCAGCGCACCCGTGTCCAGATACAAATGCAAATTCCCTGTGGCGGTGATTGTGAAATGGTTGCCATGCTACACAACACCAGCACAGATTGTCGAGCAGCTGTTGTGGTTGCAGCCAGTTTACCGGCTCTCCACAGTGGTAGTACATGTGGTGTAATGAAGGGCCAATGCCAAAGACGCTCATCGACATCATCCTCGTCATCGCTGCAAACCAATTCTCAGCGTCACCATCGCCATGTAATCTGTAGTCGCTTGAAGGCCAGGCAAATAAGTTTCGAAGAAGATGCCGATGCTGACGTGGCTTAAACGCTTTTGCGGAGTGTTGGAAGTTGTACTTATGCGGTGGTCGGACCACATTGGCATTGTGGCTTAACATTTGTCTTGTTGTTGTGTTATTTTTTTTTTCATTCGATTCAATGTAGTCTCCATTCTTTTTCGTATGTTAAGTAGTAGTGCTTTATTTTCATAGTTGTAAGTGTATGTGTATATAAATATATATCTACCAAATACGTTATATGTATGTCTTATCTATTGCTCTATAAATATAATACACCCAGCGACCGACTTGTAGTAAATGGATTTTTTGGGCAAAGACGCTGTTGTCTTTGCTCTGGTCATTTAAGGATGTTGTCTTTCATTGTTGGAAGTAAGGAGATGGGAGTTGGGATACGAGATACATACTCTTACATACACTATCGTTGCCTTTTTATCTTAAAATAAGCTAATATTAATATACATATGTACTCGTACGTATGCATATGCTTTATGTGAAAGTAGTCGAATTGTGAATGGCTTGTTGGAAAGGGGCATTAATTATCTGCGATATTAATAAAACCCAGATAAATATATACACGATATATGCGAATATAATTTTACGAGAAGTGATGTTTAATTATAAGTTTATTATCGTATTATTAATGATAAGAATTATATTTAAAATCCTGCAAGTAATTGAGTCATCATGTTAATAGGTATATAAGTATTTTAATTTATACGTTTGAAACTGGCTTGTTCTAAGGTAAGTGTGGATACAAGAAATAAAAAAAATATTTCAAAAATTTACATTAATTTAATTTAAGAAGAGTACCTTTTTTTAACAATTTTTAAATTCTACCCAATGTAGAGATTTATGTAAAAACTCAGGAAAGATTGAAAATGAGCTTTGTTTTTCAATTGTTTAAAATTGTAAATATTTGTATAAAGCAATGTTTACAAATCTATAATAACCAAAACCTATTCCGATGATCGAAAACGAATATGCCTCATCCTTTGACAAAAATTTGGTCATTAACGTCAGTTACCAAAACAAAGAAACTGTTTACCAAGCAACAAGCCCCCCATATAAACAACACTGTCGAAATTGGCAAATAGCCGTTATCAGCATAAAAAAGCAGCTAACTAAAACCCTTTCGTTTTATTGTCAAGGACAACCGAACGCAGCAGATTGTATTTGCTTAGTAAAGTGATAAGCTTTTATCTGTCCATTCATCCCTTTTCGGTATCACTTTATGATGAGGATATGCACAACGGATATTGGGTATATAAAAATATTAAACTGTGTGCGTTTGTGTTCCGTTCGCTTTTGTTTTGTTTTTGGGTGAAAGTTTCCGGTTTCCGTCTTTTATAATAGCTAATGGCCATATAATCGGAACATTTTTCCCAACTACAACAAATTTATGTCTACGAAATATAAATGTATGACTTCTTTATTTGATGTAATGGCTTTAAGGGATATTTAAGAGTTGGCATATCCATCCCATCCCGTATATCGTCCTTGTGTATGTCCTTGATATTGTTACGAATGTTTTTGGCTATTTCAAACATGGACAAAAACAATCAATTTTTCGGACTATTTAACTCAAATGAATGTGCCAATAATATTTACTGATATACATTCTATGCGTGGTGAGTGTAGAGAGTTGGGGAGGGAAGAAGGAATATAGTTCTGTTGGCCCATAGTCATATTTGTGAATGTCTTTACTTTAACTTAGGGAAACAATAAACGTCTTAAAGAGATTAGTATTTTTGATGAATGATTTGAATAAAAATCCTAAAAATTCTCTGTGTGACACCCCATAAAGAATATTCATATATTCTTAATCAGTATTGCTATTCTCTAATACCAACAAATATCGATAAAATTAAAATACACATTTTTCGTGTAGGACCTAACGACTACTTTATGTTGGCAGTTAACTTGCCGAAAAAGTCTCTTAATTGACTAAGTTATAAGCAAATAAAAATGTTCCGATTTCGACAATGGTCGGTAATTCTGTCGTTAAACAGTAACAAAATAGCACTACAGAATAACATTTAATGTATGTCAGTCTGTTGAAATTACGAAATATACACAGCCTTATTCTGGATATTCGCAAGGGAGTGATTTTCCCTTATTCTTATTCTAACAGGGAAGAGCAAAAAACATTTGTCGATAATGGTTGTTGAAAAATATTCGCAACACTAATAGTTTTTTTTCAATTTAAGCTATAAAGTGTATTGCCCCATTGTAATCTAATTTCATAACATTTTTCAATATTTAATTTGTTGATTTTTCTAACAAAGATTTTCGTGGATTTTTAAACAAAATTATTTAATTTCGATATTTTATCTCCCCAACTTCTTAAAGTGGCCAATTATTGCATGATATTCTCCACATCCTTTATTTTGTCCTTCAAATCATGCAGACGATACATTTGAAAGAAAAACTATTTTTTGTACCTTTATTACTGTTCTTCCATAATTTTTGTTTGATCTTTCCACTGTAAGGGCGAACATCATTTTATGATTTTATTTCGTTCTTCTCTTCAAATTGAAGCTTAGTGATCGAAGTTCTGCAATAAATATTCCTTATTGCCTTTATACATTCCGTGGCAATATTTATCAATTTTTCAACGGCATTTCATTCGTTTGAGTTTATTATGCTTTTGAGTTAAAAATATGCATACAACCATTGATAATATTCAAAATAGTCATAGAATAAGTATTTTCGAGATTTTCCGACTTCCTGTAATCCTTACTTACTTAGCTGGCTTGTTACAGAACGGTTGTTCCATAAGCTGAGCTTAAAAAAGATTTCCAAGCACGTCGGTCTTGTGCGCAAATCCACCAATTTGGAAGAGCACGTTCCAAGATGTTGTTTTCTACTTGGTCTTTCCATCTAATTCGTAGGCTCGTTTTTATATGCCTTTTGAGCTGGGGCATTTTTATTCATCCGCACAACATGGCCTAGCCACCGTAGTCGCTGCAGCTCAATACGACTGACTATGTCGATGTCTGCGTATAAATTGTAAAGCTCGTGGTTCATTCGACGCCGATATTCACCGTCGACGCAGATCCGAATAAGGAGAAAGTGAAAATGCGAAAATTCGCTGCTTAACTTTAAAGGGAAGAGCGAAAAAATTCGCGGTGAATTGATGTCAAGAATAAGGCTGATAGGAAATATTAGATAGAGTTTTGCATTTTCACTTACATTACAACTATATGGTGCCCAACGATACCCCAAATATTTGGTATTTTGTGTAAGTTTTTCGAACGAATTGGCATTTTCTTTGGCTAGAAAATCTTCTAACAAAAAACACTATCAATATTGACTTAAGTTTCGAGGTAGGTCCCATATAACGATACACCTCGTTATTCGGTATTTGAGACACGTTCTTAATCGAATTGGCTAAAGTTCGACATCTTATATTTTCATTGGGTGCCATATCTTCCAACCAAATATTTACGATTACATATAAAAGAAACCGATCGATTTCTCTTATTTTAAATTTCCACCTCATGGTGGAGGGTGGTCAAAGTTTTTAGACTCATAAAAAAGATATTGTTTTCTCATTTGCTGCAGAATTTCAACGTTAATACGAAATAAATTCCCCTAAAAATATTACAAAAATAAACAAAACAGCAGCCAAAACGTTGACAAAACATGAAAACATATCAATGGAAACTCGTGATGACCGTTTGTTGTAAGCGATCCATGTATCTAACACAAAAAAAAAAACATCCATGACAAGCAGTTCCATTACACACAGACCATGTGAAAAAAATATCAATGGAAAAAAGTACCAGATTGTTTGTAAATGACCAAGGAAATCAAGTAACACAATCAGTGGTGATACTGTTATCCAAACAGCTGCCTGTTTTTTGTCTGGCCTTTTACTTATCTTTGGCACTTTTCTATCATGAATCATTTGTTTGTGAGAAAATCTGAAGTCAGTGGATTTTTCTTATCGTATTTCCGGTTGGCAGCTAGCTCATCATCCTTTTATCTCTATATTACACATTGATTTGAATTGATGACGATGCCTATGACAGTGACTATTTCGTTGTGACGAAAGAAACTAAATTATGTATTTTTGTTAGCCCAGAGTTCTTGTGGGGCAAGTGACTAGTATTTACACAAAACTAGATATGTACATACGTATTTGCATATTCGAATACGTATATTAACCTGAAAATTGCAGATCATACCTTCATATTTACTCAACAGCAAAAGCTTCTTCTTCTTAAAATCCATCAATATCAGATTTCATAACATTGACAAATTGTTTTGCATGTCACAGTAGTAACCAAATATCTTAGTCATATGTCTCGGTGGCCAATTAAGTTCCATCTGTTTGAGTATTAAAACTTATGATGAATTTAGGTAGCTTTATTATAACAATTTGTATGAAGAAGATTTCCCGGAACAATTTGTATAATATATGTACATACATACGAAATGTATTGCCAAGAAGCCAACAAAAGTACCAAAATTGTAGGTTTGTTTGTTCTTTGTCAAATCTATTTTTTTTTATTTTTTCTATTTTATTGTTGCTAGTTATACATTTGGATTTTATTTTTTTCCGCACATATTCATGTAAATATATATATGTGTGGGTTTGTCTGTATATAAATAAACTTATAAATTTTATTATGTGCATGTTTAACGAGAACATAAATGGAGAGGCGTTGAAGAATGCGAGACGTAGAATGAAAGTGTTTTTATGAGTAAATTATTGAAAGGAAAGTCAGGGGAATTATTGTAGGTTTTGCCTATTTATTACACGCTTCGATTTTGGTTTTTTGTATTTACAGAGGTTGAAAGACTATTAGTGAGAATCAGTTGAGATTTAGATAGTTTCGCCAATTATCGATCACTAAGCTCAACTTCGAAGAGAAAAACCAAATAAAATCATTGACCCTTACAGCGGAAACTCAAACAAAAAATTATGAAAAAACAATAACATAGCTAAAAAAAATTTTCTTTCAAATCGCCTTTAAGACTTTGAGGAAATTAAATACAAAGGCAGACAATTATTTGTTGAATT